CTCCCGTAAGGTGGAGGTAAGTTGTGCCTCGCGTAGGCCCTATCCTGTCGTAGGGGCTCGCGAGAGGTATGGCTGGCGCACTCGGCCGGAGCAGCTTGCGGAAGCTCCATGTATATTTGCGACGAAGGATTTAAACTAGATCCTGCATGACGCGGCCGGGAGGGTCCCGCGCTGCCCTTGTGCGGTGCCGGACCGATGCGCGCGACATCGGGCTCTACACTTTTGGCTCTCCATTAAGCGCCTATCAGCGCTTAGGGCCCACAGCCCAACTCTGTCAACCCGGAGCTGGCCGGTCCCAGCTATGGCCGCCGGCAACATGAAGAAGGTGAGGCACTACGCTGCTGAAAATAGGGCAGCTCTCAAGACGAAACCTCTCCAGACCAACGTGAGACGAGCAAATGGAAAAGAACCCCCAGTTCCTCGTGTGCTGAACTCTTATGCTTTCTGCCTAGACTGCCCTGACAGTCTACTCTCTACCACGGACTGCTTGGACCTACCACTTCCCAAAGAGGCTCCAACCTACAGCCTCTCTGTACCTAGGCTGGAAGTTGCCAAAAGGACAGGTAGCAGGAAAAGCAGGAGAAAAAATAACGGCTTCCCTAACACGCAAGAGGGCCAGGGATCGATTCCTGTCAAGATCCCAAAAAGAACAAACTCGAAAGGCCTGGGATCCAATCCCACCAGAGACAAAATAAAGAAACACTCGCCAAACTGGCAGATCCAGGGATCAAAACCTTTTTTTTTTTTTTTTTTGACAAAAAGACTATGCAGATCTGCTAGGAACGGTGATAAGAGCAGCCTTCCCTAGCAGCCTACTGGTACCTGCATGCTCACAACTACAAAACACACAAAGCACACGAGTTAGGGGCTCGCCACACCACTGTCGAAAGGCAAAAAAAATCCAGGGCTGTCAGAATAAATATGACAGCCTCCCTTCAACAGTTTGCCCCCCTTTAGTTAGCCACACAGCACTGTAGAATGGACGCACTTGTGAATGCAAGATGGAAAAAGACGAACGCGCCTGAGGGTACGACAAGCATTAGTCCATCCCGACCTCAGGCTGCACGTGCTGGAAAATGGGTCCCGCATCAGTCTTGTCTATGCTATTGCTTCGTACTTTGTTATTTTATGTTGTTTTGTCACTCACTCCACGTTTCTTGTGGAGCATAAGGCTATTTTGAACCATACATTTTCTCCAGGTATGGAGCTTAAGGCCAATTGCTCACCTTTTACTCGGTGAATTTTCTCCAGGTACGATTCCATGAGCAACTCAATGAGGAAGGACAGTATGATATCGAGAGAGACCTGTGCCACATCATTGTTAATGGACTCGGAATCGAGCTTTTCGTGGAGCTCTCCAACCCTCCTGACAATTGGATTGACATTCTCGTACGATGCGAGGATTGCACAAGTGATGCCAGCAAAGCCTGGGTAGAACAGCACATCCTACAGGAGGTGACGCGACTGTGTTCAGAGCCCATCGGTTTACCTGGTGTCCAGCTGGTGATCAAAATTTTTCGTCCGGAGTGTGTGGAACAGCTTGTCCCTCGTGAATGTCGTCTCAGTTCCCAGGTCGTAGATGAGACCAAAATTTTGGATGGGATCAATCAGTGGGGCATCCAGTCTGTAGATTACAAATACTGCTGGCCTGAGCTTGACCCCAGCCGAAATTGCATAGGGCTGCCTAGGTCCTTAAGTAATGGACTGGACCTGCTAAGGCCATCAACACTCAGGGACAGTGTGATCCAGCAGGGGCGGCAGCTCATACAGGTCAATAAAGATTTTGAACTAGGCCCAATTGGCGAGTCTCGAGGGAACAGCTGGGCATCAGGTGCAGCACATGCAGAAGCTCACTGTTCAGCACATGACTACCTCTGCTGCGATAACGAGGGAGCGGTGCGAGGACTGCCTGGTCCATTTCAGAAAATGTTGCAAGTCATTCTGGCCAAAGTTGACAGGGTTCACTTGGATGTGAAGAGGATTGGTGATGACATGAATAATTTGAAGTGTGCGATGAAAACGCTGATGAGAGTTCAGAAAGAGATGTTCCCCAGCATCAGCAGGAAGCTGACGGATATGTCATTTCTAGTGATGGAGAAGCACAAGCATCGGCTGCCCCATCTTCTCTTCTTTTCTGAAAAGGAGGGTGTGAAAGCGAAACTTGCAACCTGGTTTGGCCACCCGCTAGGTGTCCGTCCGCTTCAACTTCACTTGATGTGTGAATCTCGGAGCGAGGTACATTCTGTGGAAGGCCAACCTGGCAAAAAGGTGTGGATTCAGGAGGAGGAGAAACCAGGGGTTTGGGTGCTGCTAAGAGCAACTCTACTTGTGATGACAACTTTACTGATTGCTGGATGCGGCACGATGGCAGGAATTCATTCTGTGGTGCCTGATCTAACTAGCCTCAGTCGTGATTGGTCCCCCATCATCGCAGCACGGGTGGCTGGAGGTTTGGCAGTCGGTGCATACGGAGCTGACAAAGAAATTACAGATTTCAAGGAGAGTCTGATCAAGGATTTTGAGGAACGCTGGAAAAAAGGTACAAGAATGTTTGAGGATGGTCCAGAAGATGATATCAGGAGGGCTGAGGCATTTGCATGGCTGGAAAGAACTCTTGTGGGTGGGAAGGTTGACATCAGAGAGAAATTCCAGTTATCAAGAGTCAGATACAAAGACACATCCTCAATTGCATGGATTTGCGATGGATGTTTAGTGAAGTACCACGGTGAATATGAGATGTTCACATAAGCATGGCGAAAAGCATTCGCTTGCACTAGTGCTATGAGAGTCATGATAGCTGATTCTCTCTGTTCCAAAATACGGATGTTCATATACGTATAGTCAATTATTTTTGTGCACATGTCATAAAGCCAATAAGGGAGGGAGCGGTAGAGGATATAGTCAGCTATCTCTGTTCCAAAATACGGATGTTCATTCCCTTGCACATGGCTGATTACATATGCGGCATTACCACTTAATCAGTGGTTACACGTGAGGCGCAAGGATTCAGACCCAGACAGCACCGATCAATGCAAAATATGTACGGAGGGAGCGGTTGAGGATATAGTACATTGCTTAATACACTGTAGGGAAGCGACAGAATTCTGGGCAAGAGCCTCGATCCTATGGGACTCCCTTTTCCCAACTCCCTTCCCTGAGCAACCCATCCAACTTCTCCTTCTGACTAACATCCCCGAACAATTCCGGAAAGCGGAAAAGAGCTGGTATGGACTCATCAGGAAGGTGACACTATGGATCATATGGAAGGAAAGGTGCAGTAGAACAATTGAAGGAGTGTCCAACTCACGAGAGATGGTTTGGCTGGAGACGAAAGCAATGTACAGGCGGAAATCCTGTGCCGTTGGCGGAAAATTAAATTATCATCGTCAGAGGATGAGGAACAGCGAAAGAACGCGAGACAGAAGTTCAGCAGGATATGGTTGGTAGGAGGGAAAGTTGCTGATCTGCGAGACGACCACATCTACTGGAAGAACTGGCACAACTCCAACTCGGGAAGAAGTATTGGACAGAAACTAACTGCATAAGGGCAAGGCACCTCCGGACCAGATTCTTGAAGAGGAAGGGTAGTCAAGCAAGCCTCGGCAGAAGATAAGGATCAGCGAAAGAACGGGAGATTGAGGCTGTACAAGACTGGGCGGGGTATACGGCAAGAATGCCAAGAGATAAATGGACTGTATCTACTGGAAAGGGAACCACAATTCAGTGCTAGAAAGGAGCTCCCAACAGAGGTCCAAGGCGGGTACATCARTCACYGTTCACAGACAGATTAAATTTCCAYGGGAACTCAAGCCAAACTACTACAGCTATGGTTCGACAGCACAAAGTTGGACGGATGGTTCTATAAAACCAAAACAAGGGGAAAGGGCGGTTCCAAAGGGCTGCTGTAATATGGGGTCACAGGCTGRGGACTGAGGGTCAAGGGTTTTAGGGATGTCGTACAAAAGKGAGGACATATAAAATGARAAAGGACTTGACTAATAGAGATCAGAAGCTGGCGAAGGGTTTAGGGGGTAGGGTTCTCCTCAGACCTTAACAGTGGAGGGGCAAAAYACCTCYTGATTAGACTTCCACSGGAGATTGGCAASCCTAAACTTCTACAGCTATGGTTGGATAACAGGGAGAGGGACCAAAAGACCAGAACAAGGGGAAAACACCGTCTCAAAGGGATGATGGGTCGAGGGTTTAAGGTTCAGGGCTTTAGTGATGACTTAAACTTTAAAGAAAGGGGGGCAGATAGAATGGGACATGGGTTATCACGCCTCACGGCCAGGACAGATGAGTGGGGATGAGGCAGGCCAGCAGGGATTAAGGGGGAGCTCTTTCTAGGTGGCATAGTACTATTTGACAGATTTGGCCTCCAGATCTTAGAGGAAAGAGAGGGATATGGCAAGCTGGCAGTTAATCCTCCACCAAGGTGGAGCAATCAATGCTGTCCAGGGGCCCTTCGGCCGAACGGAAGGAAGCGTGTGTGAGTCTCAATGTAATGTATATTCTGACTTGTCGGTGGAATAGGAACCGGACTGACGCTCCCCAGAATAGAACGGAGCCAGGACCATAAGGCCCTGTTTAAAAAAAAAAAAATAAATAAATAATAATAATAATAATAATAATAAAAAATAAAGCCAATAAGGGAGGGTTGCAGAGACTCTGAGTTAGAAGTCATACAACTCAGCCAATAAGTGAGCGCTTGCAGATTGTCCAAGCTCTTACAACGCTTTCCAAAGTAACAAGCATGATTTCATGTGAACGGCAGCACTCGGCGTCTGGAGAACTTTCGTACCGGCAAATGGGACTGCACTGCTGCGGCCAGTGGCAATTTATTTCTGGGGGTGGCTGACAGTGTGTGATGGTATCAGCGCCAGGCACTGATCCTTAGCCGATCAAGCACAGCTTCTGCTGATAACAGTTTATCTCCTCACTGGCTGCCGAGGACGGTCGTTTTATCAGTTATGCTCCATTCCAGACTCTATTTTACGAGTCCAAAGCAATTTCCTTTGTGGTTTATCTGGTAGTGCGGGATCATGTTTTCGTTCATTTCAGTACAATCAATGAAACAGTACATTCTGCAGAACCACGCGTCGCCCTTTCCCTCAGCAGGCTGTTTTCCATCAGGGTGGCCACAGGTGAAGGTTTCCTGATTGGTCAGTGATGGTTGAGAGGGGTAATTCATGGCCAGAAAGTGTGTTCGGTGTATGACTGCAGTTCCGGACCAGTCAGTTCTGCGATTCAGTGAGTACTACTTCAACTTCTGTCCTTTCTTCCCCTTCGTCTTCTTGAATCGCTGGCTAGGGGGCATTGGTCGACCACTTCCCAACTGTGAAAAAGGAAAGAGAATCGTGAGTACGGCTTTCCACCGTCTGAGATCTGGTATTGCTGGTTTTGGACTAGATCTAATTTTCTGAATATATGGTCCGAACTTTTTGTTCAGTCTTAATTTCTAATTAGGTACAATGAATATGTTCTTTTAATTTGCTGTCGAGGCCTATTGTTAGAATCCTTTAGCATTCTCATATTGAAAGAACAGTCTAGCTTTAAACAGGCTCGACTCAATTCCTGAGTGCAAGGTTCACACCCATGAGTCCTGAGTCCTACTTTTGTAGTGGAGTGTACTCGAAACACAGTTGGAAATTTCGAAATCAATACACTGTATATCTGAATTTGGCAATGATCGTCTCTGTTTTGGCTCGGTTCTGATTTGCCCCAGCTTACTTCCCCTTGTTAGGGGCGCAAGGGTTGTAGGTGAGTCCCATTAGGTCGCTCATGTTTTGATGTGAAGGGGAGGGGTGTTTCCGGAAAGCTGCGGAGAGCTGTTAAAGTGGAGATTTGAGATGCTGTTGTGGCCTCGGACATCCGCAGAGGTAGGTCAACGGTGTTTAAAGGAAGCATTATCTCCCTTGTTCAGGCTAAGTGGGGTTCAGATGAGGTAGACTGCTGTAGGATGGTTGGTTGAAATGCGTTCTGATAGTGCCTGAGTGCCATCAGTATCGTTGTGGTGCGTAGCAGCAATAGAGATTGTGGCTCTGTTGTGGTAAGTCTTGCCGGAGTGGGGAGCTTAGGGTAATAAGGAGCGTGGTGTTGCTCTGGTGTGGTAGCCCCAGTCTTCAGAGGCTGCGAGGGCTGATGTGAAGATGGGCGAGCATGAGTGTTGGCTGCCCAGCCCCGGAGGTGGTAAAAAGAAAATGCGGCTGTTTCATGAGTCTGGAGTAGAGTCTAGTCTGTCCTTTTGTTGTACAAGTGGACCCGGTAGCAGCAAAAGCGAATCGAGATAGAGAATGCTCATTTAGAGAAATGCAATGAAGAAGTGGACAGTGTAGCAGAAGTATTTGTGTTTCTTTGTATCCGGGTTTCTCTGTTCGGGGGAAAAGAACAGTTCGAGAAAAGGGCTGCCTCGTTGTCTTTCTCTCTTTCTCTCTTTTTCTCTTCCTCTCTCTTTCTCTTTCTCTTTGTCTGTCTCTCTGTCTGTGTTTGTCTCTATGGTCTCTCTCGCCTTGTCTCTTTCACTGTCTTCTCTCTCTCTCTCTCTCTCTCTCTCTCT